TTCATGGCTGCAATCACCATCTGCAGTGATTTTGGAGTCCCCTCAAAATAAAGTCTGACACTGTTTCCACTGTTTCCCCATCTATTTCCCATGAGATGATGGGACCAGATGCCATGATCTTAGTTTCCTGAATGTTGAGCTTTAAGCCACCTTTTTCACTTTCCTTTTTCACTTTCATCAAGAGGCTTCATTAGCCAACTCCAAATTTTCCATCGCCAGCAGGATCTCCCAAAGAGAGATTATAGCCACCCCAAGAACTCTCCAGCTAATTCTTTGAGATCCGGTAGCATCTGACTATTTTTCTTGAGGATTGTGAGATTTTCTTAAACTTAGCTGGAGGTATTTACCCAGAAACAGCATGTCTCATTCGAGATGGCTCAAGTCCCTCCTTGTTCAGGAATCAGGAGATCTGTCTACTGTCTGTTTTGGAGTACAACCTCTCCCAAGTTGTGTTGGCTTTTTAGAGCTATCCTAAGAATTCTTATCCCCAGAAAATTAATTTGGGGGTGTTCATTATAATGGCACTCACTTGTACTTCTGAATAGGCATCTGAGAGCACGCAGGGGCTCACAGGTGTAACCTCTTATAGGCCTTACAGGTGTAACAGAAGAGTGACCTCTTCTGTTTTCTTCCATGGCTTGACTCATGAGTAGTGAACCCAGGAGTCATGGCCTGGTACCTTGACTGCTGTGGGGGTAGAAATCATTACAGGTTAGGGGCCCTTCCACGTGGGCTGGAGTTGAGCCTTTGGGGACCCATCTTTCCAGACTTTAATTAGGACTGAAGTCCCTGGAGGACACATATATAGTGGTGACTCTAGAATCTTTTGGGTCCTGGTTGACACCCAACAAGTGTATATCCTGTTTGATTTACCCAATAGCCATGGTATAAGACCAGAGGATCTGAGCCTTTGGATCTAGGAAGAGGTCATTGACATAAACAAAAGGTCTCCCATATAGCATCTCATAAGGACTAAAACCAATCTGTTCCTTAGGGGCAATACAGGTGCGGAGGAGAGCTATTGGTAAAGCCTCCTACCATCCCAGGGAGGTCTCCTTGGTTATTATTATTATTATTTTAATCTCTGATTTTAAGAATTGGTTGGCTCTTTCTACTTTTCCTGAAGACTGAAATCTCCAGTCACAATGGCATTTCCTCTCCTGGGTATGTCCCACATCATTGGACAGGCTGGGCCAGCTAGGGTCTTTGAGTTTCTTGGGGGTTGTTTAATTGGCAAGTGGGACAAGAGGAGACCCCTTGCCTTATAGTCATTTGGAGGCCTGTTCCTCTGAAGGATCTTTCTTGTAGTCTTTGGAGGGCCTTTTCCCCTGAATGAATGGTGGCATGTAAGGAGTTAACCAACTTCCCTTGGAGGTTCCCAGGCAGAAAAAGGAGCCCCACTTTATGGGACTACTCCATATGATCTTGAAAGCCCTCACTCTTAGCTTTAAGAGTCTCACCTTCAATATATAAAGGAATTTCTGACAAAATAGTCTATGGACCTAAGATGACAACCTCTATTAGGTCATTGTTCTATAATGCTGCTCTTTTAGCTGCCTGATCAGCTGCTTGATTCCCTCGTGCCACTTATGTGCTCCCTTTTTGGTGTCCTTTACAGTGGGAGAATGAAATCTCAGTGGACAAATGGACTGCCTTCAAGAGCCTAAGGATTTGATCACCATTATTGATTTGGGACCCTGGAGTGGTCAAGTGTCTTCTTTCTTTACAAATTGCAGCATGTGCATATAGCACTAGAAAGGCATACTTGGAGTCAGTGTAAATGACTACTTTATTTACCCCCCTTTTCCCAGCTCTAAAGCTTGAGTCAGGGCTATGAGCTCAGCTAATTGGGCTGAAGTACCTGGTGGCAAAGGTTTGGCCCCTATGATCTCAAAATTGGAAACCCTGGCTCTCTTTTTTCCATCCAAGACAAAGCTGCTTCCATCAGTGTACCAGATTTCCTCAGGATTGGTCAGAGAATCTTGTGACAATCCCTCTCAGGATTTTGTCCAGTGGTCCAAGGTTCCTAGGCAAGAGTGAAAGGGAACAGAGCCCTTGGGGGTAGGCAGGAGGTTGGCTCAGTTAACAACTCACAAGGGGATATAGTCAGGCCTGGATTTTCCATTAGCACTACTTGATATCTGAGGATTCTTTGATGAGACATCCATAAATGGCCTCTCTCATTTAGGAGTTGTTTTACTTGAAAGTGAAAGTGAAATTACTCAGTTGTGTCCAACTCTTTGTGACCCATGGACTGTACTTGGCTAGGCTCCTCCATCCATGGGATTTTCCAGGCAAGAATCCTGGAGTGGGTTGCCATTTCGGTGACTTGCAAAAATCATTAGTTTTCCCCTAAAAGAGAGTTTTAAAACATCTGCTATGAGGATTACAATAGCTGCAAGATTTTGAAGGCAGGGAGGTTTGAACCTGTCCACTGGGTTGTCCCTCTTAGATAAGTAAGCTACAGGCTGGGGCTCAGGTCCCAACCTTTGAGTTAGCACTCCCAAGGTTTTTCCTTCTTTTTCGTGGACAAAAAGTTGGACTGCTTTTCTGGGTCTGGCAACCTCAAGGCAGTTACTTCAATTAAGGCTTGTTTTATTGTAGTCTCTGCCTTCTTTTGAGGAGTTCCCCACATCAGTAGGATTGAATCATCCCGTCCCTTCAAGTTTTCATATAAAGGTTAGGCAATTAGACCATAGCTAGGTATCCAACTTCCACAATACCCATTTAGCCTCAAGCAAGTTAGCAATTGTTTTTGAGTCATGGAGGAGGGCAAATGAAGGATTCTTATACCCAATCAGAGGACAGCCTCCTGGACCTGTGGGTAATCTGAAATCCCAGGTATATGACCTTTGTCTTGACCATATGTCCTTAGCACAGGAGATCTTATATCATCTCTCTGCCAAAAAGTTTAGAACCTGAATTGCATGTTTCTCATCTTGACAGCAGATTAGTAGGTCATCTGTAAATTACAATACTTTCCCATTAGGTCCCAGATCCAGACCTGGGAGATTCTTTCTAAGAACCTGCCCAAAGAGGTGGGGGTTATCTCTGAACCCCTAAGGTAATAGTGTCCAAGTCATCTGTTGGTGTTTTTCTCCTGGAGCTTCCCACTCAAAGGCAAAATGTTATTGGGATTCTTTGGCTGGTAGTATGCAAAATAATGCATCTTGGAGGTCCAAGACTGTAAACCACTTGGCACTGGGTGGGATTTCCTCCAAGATTACATAGCGATTGGGTACTGTGGGATAGAGGGGGACTGTAGCTTCATTTGTGATCTGGAGATCTTGAACCATTCACCAGGTACAGTCCTTTTTCTTTACAGGGAGGATCGAGGTGTTACATGGCGAATTGGTGGGGACCAATAGCCCACAGGCAAGGCATTTATTTATTAAAGGCAGTAGTCCTTCCCGAGCTTCTCTTTTGAGGGGTATTGTTTCTGGCTAGGAGACCACATGGGATCTCAGAGGGCAGTGATAACCAGTTCAGCTTGGTGGGCTCATCCAGGAGTCCCCTGGTCCCACACCAGGGGGTTAATTTTTTCCTCTCATAGTTTTTGGTCCCTCTCTTTAGAGAAGGTGTAATGGGTTTTTCCATAGTAACCAGAAGCTATAGGGCTCTAGGGCTGAAAAGTTTCCCATCACAAGGGTAGTCCCCAGTTTGGTGAGTATATCTCTTCTCAATAAGGGAGTAGGACACTCAGGGACTGCCAAAAACAGATGAGAAAATATGTATCCAATCCAGGAACAAAGAAATGCTTGGGTGAATCTTTTAGCAATTATTTTTCCTGTAGCACACAAAATGATACAGGTTTGGGAGGAGAAGGCTTCGGAGTAGGGAGTTAGGACAGAATAGGTAGCTCCTGTGTCAACCAAGAAATTCTCCAACCTACCTGCCACATCCAGTTGCACCGTTGGTTCCAGATCCGTGATGATTATCTGTGATAGGTGGGCTGGCTGGAGTGGGCCGCTTCAGTCCTGTTGAACCATCATGATGGAAGGCTTGGTGCTTGACTTTGAGGCTCTTGAGTTCCCAGGGCAGAGTGCCGCCCTTGTAGCAAGCCATTTTAGGAGACTTGTCATGGTTTGGACACACTTTGGCCCAATGCCCTGCCTGTCTACAGATTAGGCATTTGCCTCGTGCCTTATCCTTCAAATACTCAAGATTTGCAGTAGGACTTCCCTGGAGGGCGGCCAGCATCTGGGCATGCTTTATCTCTTTCCTTTTCTCCCTTTCCAGGGCCTTGGCCTCCCTCTCCTATTCTCTGATATAAAAGGTATTGGTGGCTATCTGGACCATGTCATATAAAGAGGCAGCAGGGTCCTGCTGCTGTAGCTGTTGTAACTTTATCCTGATGTTGGATGCACAATGGGACAAGAATTTGTCCTTTAAGATCACCTGCCCCTCATAAGAGTCTAAGTCCAGATTGGTAAACTTTTGGAGGGTTTTCAGAAAGGCAATGAGGTTCTCACTGGGCTCCTGAGTTATTGCTGAGACCCAGGAATAGCTGATTACTTTTTGCTGTATTGCTTTCAGTCTTGCCTTCACACAGATCTGCAAATGATCCTTTTCCCAGATGTGCTCAGGGTCATTATAATTCCAATTAGGATCTGACTAGGGGACTGCAGTTTCCCCTACTGGGTTTTATCTCTTGATATGCGAGGCCCTGTAGCATACCTTCGGGCTTCCTTTAAGACCCTAGTATGCTCAGGGTCAGATAAATTTTGAGTAAATATGGCCATGGTGTCTTTCCATATCAAGTCAAAGGCCACGATAATGTGTTGGGATGTATCTAGATATTTGCCTGGGTCATCTGTATAGCTTCCCAGGACTTGTTTGATCTGTCTTCTAAGAGGGAGGGCTTATGGACCCAGATTGGTCTGAATACTCCTCCAGTTTCAACTAAGGGGCATACTCAAGTTGGCTTTTGTGGTGGGGGCGCTCCCAGATATGAGGGCACGTTTGGATACAAGGAAGGGGCACCAGGCAACTCAGGAGCCATGGGAGGTGAGCCTTCAAAGGGGGGGGGGGTCAGTTTCCTTCTCTTGGTTGCGCCTAACACCATTTGCCTAGTAGGTTCACTTTTAGGGCATACAACTATCCCATACTTAAGACAGAGTTCCTTCATATCTCTTAGTCAGAAGAAAATTTGGACATTCGGGATCTCTGTCCATTCCCTTTGTCTTTTGCAGAATAAGTCTAGCTGCAGGATGGTATTGTAATTTAAACCCCCATCCTCAGGTCAGTGTTCCTTGTCCCCCAGAGGATATCACTCGGTGGCACAAAATAATTTTAAGCAACTTCTCCTTAGAGTTAGAGGATCGGACAGCTTCCAGTTATCAAGGATGCATCTCAAGGGCATCTGCCAGGAAGCAGATTGGTTATTTCCCATATGAAAGACAGTGATGACAGGGAGGAAAAGAAAAAACTAATTGGCATCCTTCAATTTCCATGCGTGGTCTTCCTTAGGGGTGAGTCTTTCTGAAGCTTATCCTACCCAGTACTATTGCAACCTGAGAACCAGGCATCCCTGGGTCAGGGTGAAGATCCCCAGGCAAGCTGAGGCATGACAGCCTCCTGGAGATTGAACTCCTGGGCAGGTCAAGGCATGTAGGTCTCCCAAGAATTGGGTCCCTGGGCAGGTTGAGGCATGTCGACCTCCTGGGACCCTTGGACTGGCAAATCCCCAAGCAGGTTGAGGCATGACAACATTTCGAGGACCAGATCCCTAGGCAGATCGAGGCAGGATGACTTCCTGGGATCCCCCAGACTGGAGTTGGGCATCCCCAAGGTCTCCAGCATAACCAGTGCTGGGTAGGATTAAGAGATTGTAATTTTAACTTATTGCCAGTTTGTTCACCACAGATGGGAAGAGATATCATGATGTAAAGCCATCCAAGTCTGTGCCCTGAGACTGGGAACCTGGTGAACAGCCATAAGCAATAAGCCTCTTACTGCTCTAAGGGAATGTAAGTCACTGATTTCCTCCCCTTGAGGAAATCTAGTGATTTCCTAGATTTCCTGCATGAGAGCAGGTTAGGGTGTCTCCAATGGTAAACATTTCATTGCATAGACCCACTTTAGGTAATAACAGAAGTAATGACAAAGGAGTGGGTTATTTGGCCCTGTTAGCGGCATTAGTATCTTAACTCACTCACTCAATAAGCAGGGTGGAGTAATGTTGCCTACATGGGGGCAGGGTCCCGGTTGTAGGAGTTAGTAAGTGGCTTCAGAACAAATTGATAAGAGGCAAGAGGCCAGATGTTCCATAAAGTGGAGTGGAGATTTGATCTGGGGGTACGTTTGTAACTTTAGGAGAAGGGTGGTAAGGGTTTGGGCCCTAATGGCCTGCAGAGCTAACTCCGAAACTGGCAGACATTATCCCCAGAAGCTCAATTGCCTTTGTTTTTTGTTTTGTTTTTTTTTTTTCCATTTATTTTTATTAGTTGGAGGCTAATTACTTTACATCATTGCAGTGGTTTTTGTCATACATTGAAATGAATTAGCCATGGATTTACATGTATTCCCCATCCCGATCCCACCTCCCTCTCCACCCGATCCCTCTGGGTCTTCCCAGTGCACCAGGCCTGAGCACTTGTCTCGTGCACCCAACCTGGGCTGGTGATCTGTTTCACCCTAGATAATATACATATTTCGATGCTGTTCTCTTGAAACATCGCACCCTCGCCTTCTCCCAGAGTCTACAAGTCTGTTCTATACATCTGAGTCTCTTTTTCTGTTTTGCATATAGGGTTATCGTTACCATCTTTCTAAATTCCATATATATGTGTTAGTATACTGTAATGGTCTTTATCTTTCTGGCTTACTTCACTCTGTATAATGGGCTCCAGTTTCATCCATCTCATTAGAACTGATTCAAATGAATTCTTTTTAATGGCTGAGTAATATTCCATGGTGTATATGTACCACAGCTTCCTCATCCATTCATCTGCTGATGGGCATCTAGATTGCTTCCATGTCCTGGCTATTATAAACAGTGCTGCGATGAACATTGGGGTGCACATGTCTCTTTCAGATCTGGTTTCCTTTCTGTATGCCCAGAAGTGGGATTGCTGGGTCATATGGCAGTTCTATTTCCAGCTTTTTAAGAAATCTCCACACTGTTTTCCATAGTGGTTGTACTAATTTGCATTCCCACCAACAGTGTAAGAGGGTTCCCTTTTCTCCACACCCTCTCCAGCATTTATTGCTTGTAGACTTTTGGATAGCAGCCATCCTGACTGGCGTATAATGGTACCTCATTGTGGTTTTGATTTGCATTTCTCTGATAATGAGTGATGTTGAGCATCTTTTCATGTGTTTGTTAGCCATCTGTATGTCTTCCTTGGAGAAATGTCTGTTTAGTTCTCTGGCCCATTTTTTGATTGGGTCATTTATTTTTCTGGAGTTGAGCTGGAGGAGTTGCTTGTATATTTTTGAGATTAATCCTTTGTCTGTTGCTTCGTTTGCTATTATTTTCTCCCAATCTGAGGGCTGCCTTTTCACCTTGCTTATAGTTTCCTTTGTTGTGCAAAAGCTTTTAAGTTTCATTAGGTCCCATTTGTTTATTTTTGCTTTTATTTCTAAAATTCTGGGATGTGGGTCATAGAGGATCCTGCTGTGATTTATGTCGGAGAGTGTTTTGCCTATGTTCTCCTCTAGGAGTTTTATAGTTTCTGGTCTTACATTTAGATCTTTAATCCATTTTGAGTTTATTTTTGTGTATGGTGTTAGAAAGTGTTCTAGTTCCAAACTCATTCTATGAGGCCACCATCACCCTAATTCCAAAACCAGACAAAGATGCCACAAAAAAAGAAAACTACAGGCCAATATCACTGATGAACATAGATGCAAAAATCCTTAACAAAATTCTAGCAAACAGAATCCAACAACATATTAAAAAAATCATACATCATGACCAAGTGGGCTTTATCCCGGGAATGCAAGGATTCTTTAATATCCGCAAATCAATCAATGTAATACACCACATTAACAAATTGAAAGATAAAAACCATATGATTATCTCAATAGATGCAGAAAAAGCCTTTGACAAAATTCAACATCCATTTATGATTAAAACTCTCCAGAAAGCAGGAATAGAAGGAACATACCTCAACATAATAAAAGCTATATATGACAAACCCACAGCAAGCATCACCCTCAATGGTGAAAAATTGAAAGCATTTCCCCTGAAATCAGGAAAAAGACAAGGGTGCCCACTCTCACCACTACTATTCAACATAGTTTTGGAAGTGTTGGCCACAGCAATCAGGGCAGAAAAAGAAGTAAAAGGAATCCAGATAAGAAAAGAAGAAGTGAAACTCTCTCTGTTTGCAGATGACATGATCCTCTACATAGAAAACCCTAAGGACTCTACCAGAAAATTACTAGAGCTAATCAATGAATACAGTAAAGTTTCAGGATATAAAATTAACACACAGAAATCTCTTTCATTCCTATACACTAACAATGAGAAAACAGAAAGAGAAATTAAGGAAACAATACCATTCACCATTGCAACAAAAAGAATAAAATACTTAGGAGTATATCTACCTAAAGAAACAAAAGACCTATACATAGAAAACTATAAAACACTGATGAAAGAAATCAAAGAGGACACAAACAGATGGAGAAATATACCGTGTTCATGGATTGGAAGAATCAATATTGTCAAAATGGCTATACTACCCAAAGCAACCTATAGATTCAATGCAATCCCTATCAAACTACCAACAGTATTTTTCACAGAACTAGAACAAATAATTTCACAATTTGTATGGAAATGCAAAAAACCTCGAATAGCCAAAGTAATCCTGAGAAAGAAGAATGGAACTGGAGGAATCAATCTGCCTGACTTCAGACTATACTACAAAGCCACAGTCATCAAGACAGTATGGTACTGGCACAAAGACAGAAATATAGATCAATGGAACAGAATAGAAAGCCCAGAGATAAATCCACGAACCTATGGTCACCTTATCTTAGACAAAGGAGGCAAGGATATACAATGGAAAAAAGACAACCTCTTTAACAAGTGGTGCTGGGAAAACTGGTCAACCACTTGTAAAAGAATGAAACTAGAACACTTTCTAACACCATACACAAAAATAAACTCAATTGCCTTTGAAGGGCTGCCATCAACAGATGAACTTCTAGCAGGCATTGTGTGCCTATCACCTGCCCTAGTGGGCCCACTGAGAGATGCTCTTGTTGCACATGTTGTAGGAAACATGAAAGATGAAGTCTTGAATATCTAGAGGGATTGGATATTAAACAGTATTTCTCTTCCACGGACCAGCTATTTTCTGGTTGTCCCTCCAGAAGATTGTACAGGCAATGTTGTGGATCTGGATGGAGCTCAGGAAAAGAGTATGAAAAAGGAGAGAAGGGGGCAGGGCACAACTTCTGAAAGAATAACATAGGCTAAGGGCATAACATAAATTGATTAAAGTCAAATGGGTCCAAGATGACAAGTCAAATTCAACTAAATCTTGATCCCCAACCTGTAAGCTTAATGACACACCCAGAGGTGGCAGGACAGTTCCAAGTCACTGTCAAAAGACCGAGGAGTGGGTGGTTCCCCAGTGCTTGGAATGATCCTCCCACTCAATAGCATATGAATTTACCCAACTGGAAAAAAATAGCCATACCACATCCCATGGCCCCTGCACTTGCCCTCTGTGATGGCCCACACCCTGTGGAGTGTACTTCTCTCTGAATCCAAACAAATCCACCTCTTACCTATCGCTGTGTCTCTCACTGAATTTTTGCAATGAGACATCAGAGCCTGAGCTTTATTAGGTCCTGAAGCAAGGCACAACGGGTTTTGGCTGGGCTCAAGTCCCAGGAGAGAGGAGCTGAAGGACAGGAGGAAAAGGTAGTGGAAAAATGTGCCAAAGAATCCCCTTCATAACCTGCCAGAAAATCTGCTAAATACCTGATCTGTGTTCACAGTTTTCATTGACCTGATTCTTGGCACAAGGAAGATTAAGGACAGAAGAACACCC